CAAATCGCCTACTACACTTTTCCTCAAAACAATGTATAGATATTTGTTCCCAGATATAAGAGGCTTGTCACTCCAAGCCTTGTCCTGAACAAAATGCTGTTCTGATCACTGATAGATGAAGGAGTGGCATGGCTGACTTATGACTAAATCTCATGTAATTTACATCCATCTGTGCCATGATTTTTAATGACTTATCATGTGAACAAGATTATTCACGTGATTTTAGTCAAATTTTTTTATTTATTGGACACACTGCAGTTGTGTTTTTACATTAGCAGAACAGCAACAAAGATTTGGACACATTTGTCATGGAAAAGAAGAGCAAAGTTTAGCTCACCTCTCAACCAATGACTGCATGAGATAGGGAAGAACCTGCAAGGACAGGCGGGTAAAGACTGGCTGGATTTGTATTTGTATTTGGCTCACTGTTTTAGAATCTCCTAAGAGAAAAGATAGATGTAAGTATAGGCAAACAGATCGAGGCAGCAGTGATCTGCTGACCCTAATACAAACCCAGAATGAGAGGAGGCGTTAATACGCTGCAGTCCAGGCCAGAATAACCAGATGGCAGACAAAAATTCATTAGGCATCAAATTAAATGATTGTTTTAAAAAGACTGATAAGCCAGAAGAGGCCTGAAAAACAAGAGCAGACTTTCTGCTGTTTTGTCACTATGTGGTAAAAACTGACCACTTTTTCTTTTATTTTAACTCAAAGCAGCTGTACTGGAGTCTCTCTATCCTCCTTTCTTCCTTTGGAGAGCAGCTGTTGTCTGCCAGCTGCTAAGAGCCCATTAGTGCTGGTGTCAGTTTGACAGTACTGTCCAAACAAGCAGCCACTCTCTGAAACTACATCACAACACAGTAAATAAGGCTGACTGGGAAAGGAACAATATTTCCTTTCAGATTAGGCGAGTAGAGCTGATGTTTACTTTAAAATGATTCAATGCTGTCGATAGTTTCTTAAGAAACGAGTGAGGACATCTCTGCAGCTATGAGCTGAACTAGAAACTAAACCATGAAAGATCTCGGAGGGAAAGAGCTGCAAGACAAACAAATACACTCAATCCTGATGTTCACAGCTGGTCGTCTTTGTGCTTTTAAGAGGGAGTGTAGACACTTCTCCTTCAAACAGGAGCCTCTTGGCTAACTTGCTAAAGTCACTGTCTGGTGTCCCGTGTACATGTGCCAACGTAATGTGAGGTGACTGTACTGTTCCAGACAGACATTGGTCAGTGAGTGTTTTTTAGGAACAGAAGGTCTGAGATAGTTACCTGGGAAACCTTAGGAACATGAATATGGTTGGGTGGTTGTCAAGTCACCCAGAAATGAAGTAGAGCTGGATCTGAAGAGAGCAGTGGATTATTGTCTCCTTTTCTGGGAGTGCAGGATTTGGTAACAGCAAGGTGTGAACATCATAAGAATATCAGACATTCAAGAAGGAAGGAGATTCACACTGAATGAGACGTTCAGTGTGACCGGCGTGTCTCCATCATAATATTCTTTACAAATGGAATTCATTGGGTTTGACACTGATGTCCCTTTCCAGCAGATTCTGCTCATTCAAATTCAGATATGTTTGTGGAGAATGCATTTTTATCTCATTATCTGCCCGTGTTTGTGTGAAATCACTGACCAACATCCCAGTGCATACAGACATTTAGGTGGATGATGCTTGTCCCTGTTGTTGGATCCACTATCTGCTCACTGATCAGAGATGCTGAACATTTGTGCTCAGAGCTCTTTGATGTCAGGTTCAGCAATAATTGACTGGCATCAACGAGAAAGGAAAAAGGAGCAAGTGCAAAGATGATTTTGTTTTGTTTTTTTCAAATTTACAAGAATAAGCACAGAAGACAGATAAGAAGAGAGAGCTGGAGAAACAAGACAAAAAAAGATTTGATTTGTGTACTTTTAGGAAAATAAAACCTTTTCGGCACAAATTCTAATAACCTAAAACCAGTTGTTAGTTTGTTTCCATTGACCTGAGACTAACCTGAGAGCCAGGTGCTGCTCTGATCCATCAAATGCTTCTTCTGGCTTCACTGATTTAGTTTAGCTTTGTTCGAATTATCACACACTGTTCCACTTGACTGCAGCTTCATTCAGTCAGTTTAGTTGTGAGTTAAGTCTCAAGTGGCTTTTGCTGATGGTTCACTGTTGGTATATCAAAATAATCTTATGTAATGATTAATAAAAACGTCAGACCATAAAAAGCTGAAAAAAAGTAAAGTCCATAAGACATTGAATGACCTGTCTATCTTTCTGAGACGGGTCATTCTCTGGAAGTTTTAAACATATCAGTCAAATGCTCCACCATCTGCTGCTAAGGATAACACAGTGAAACATCAAACTTAGTGCCAATTTTGAGCAGAGACTTAAATATGATTTGTCAATCCAGAGGAAATCTGACTAATCATTGGAATTTATTAATATAAATTCCTTAATCTCCATAGATGACAGAAAATATCTTCCTTACTTTGTCTTTGAGGCTTGATCAAAACAAATAGGAATCTATGCCAATGTGAGGGATGCATACAGAACAACACCCCTCCCCCCACCAGGGAAGTCAGATCACAACCTCGTTCACCTGGACATCATGCCCAGGATCTCCTGCAATCCCCTACCAGGCAGATGTTGGTGTGGAGGATGCCATCCTCTACCTGCTGCACCGGGCCCACTCCCACCTGGATAAGGGCAGTGGCACAGTGAGGATCCTTTTCTTGGACTTCTCCAGTGCCTTTAATACAATCCAGCCCCTTCTGCTGGACAAACTAAACAGCATGGGAGTGGACCAGCACCTGGTCACCTGGATCCATAGTTACCTCACCAACAGGCCGCAGTATGTCAGGCTAAAGGACACCGTGTCTGACACTGTGGTCAGCAGCACAGGAGCCCCTCAGGGCACAGTGCTGGCCCCTCTTCTCTTCACCCTGTACTCCTCTGACTTCCACTACAACTCGGAGCTGTGCCACATACAGAAGTATGCCGATGACACAGCCATAGTCGGATGTATCAGGGACGACGGAGAGGAAGAATATCGCTGTCTGGTGAGGGACTTTGCTCTCTGGTGCCACACAAACAACCTGGAACTCAACACCTCTAAGACGAAGGAGCTGGTTATAGACTTTGGGAGGTCCAGACCAAAGCCGAGACCAGTCGTACTAGAGGGAACGGAGGTTGAGGTCGTGGGCTCCTACAAATACCTCGGGCTGTGGCTGGACAGTAAACTGGATTGGTCAAAACACACCAGCCACCTGTACGGGAAGGTGCAGAGCAGGATGTACTTCCTGAGGAGACTGCGGTCCTTTAACATCTGCAGCAAACTGCTGTGGATGTTCTACCAGTCAGTGATCGCCAGTGTCCTCTTCTACACGGTGGAGTGCTGGGGAGGCAGCACATCCAAGAAGGACACGTCCAGACTGGACAAACTGATCAGGCGTGCCGGCTCTGTGGTCGGCATGAAGCTGGACTCTCTGGTGACGGTGGCAGAGGCGAGGACACTGAACAAACTGCTGGACATCATGGACGATAGCAGCCACCCTCTACACGCCGTCATCAGCAGCCAGAGGAGCCTGTTCAGTGACAGACTGCTGCTTCCCAAGTGCCGGACCAATAGATTCAAGAACTCCTTTGTCCCCCACGCCTTCAGACTGTACAACTCCTCACTGGGGGGTCGGAGGTGACACAGGACAGAGGGAAGAAGGAGTATTTCTCTACAATGTGAACTCCATATTTATCAGGCCTAACCACACAGTGAAATACCATATCACTGGTTAGTCTATCCACCAAATTGCTGTATTTTCCTTTTGTGTTGTATTTATATTCTTTGTTTTGTATTTATGTTTTTATTACATTTACTGTGTACCTTGTATTTAATTTGTATTTTTTTGTTTTCTTTTGCGTGAAGGCAAGACCCTTCACTGTGTGCCACTTTTCTGCCTGTAAGCTACTGGTAACTTTAATATCCTGAGGGAGTCTTCCCAAGGGATCAATAAAGTACAAGTCTAAGTCTAAGGTCTTCAACTGGTGGGCAACATTTTGCATTGTTTTATGAAAATACTTTGCAGCAAAAATAAAAACTTCAATTAAAAAAATCACTTATCAAATAAAGTTTTATTCTAATTGTGAGTCATTTGGGTTATTTCTGCATTGATCTTGGCTTCTACAGAAGTAACTTCCAAAAGTGTTCACTTCGTTTCAGAGTTTATTCTGAAACTAAGCCTTTCTTATCTTTAACTTTATTTTGCAATAATCTGGTAACATTAATCCGAAAGGTAACTTGGAATTGTTGATTAAAGAAAAGCAAAGTCTGATCTTGCAGTAAGTGCATACCAAAAAGACTTCGGAAAAGCATTCAGAACAGAGATTTAAAGTTGACTCTAAACTGTTCTCATCTCCCAGGTTTAGGCCTGAAATATGGTGACATCACTACTTTGCTGTTTGAAATATTGGGACAAGCAAATCGATGCCATTCCATTAAGGGTGAAGAAACAGAAGCTGAAATGGTTGGGAAGCTTTCATAGAGAGCAGCCCTCTGATGTGATTTGATTGGTTTTATCCTTTTTCAGAATAAAACTCAAATTATAGCAGAGGGAATGAAGGAAGTGGAAGATGGAGGAGAAAGTGGAGGGCGGTTTCAACAGCTTCCTCCTTCAAAATTGAGCAGCTGTGCTCCTGAACGTTTACTGACTGATGCTCATTAAAAGTTGGACCACAGAGGAAAGAAATGACTAGCACCTGCTTCTTTCTCCTCCTCTCGTCCTCTTTCTACTGCCTCCTGCTCTTCCTCCTCAACAACCATTTCTTTCTGCGTCTTCAAACGTCTTCTAGCATCATCTGTCTGTTGACTCAAATCTAAGGATACCCTCCTGCTTTCTTGCCCTCTCTTTTGGATGGTGATGAAGAACAGATGAATCTGATTAATGTGTAACATCATGATTAAACACATCAGGAAAATGTAATTAACAGATAAAGTACGATGGAATTCTGTCTTTTCAGATTGCAGCTCAAAAGAGAAACTTGAAGAACTACCATTACATCCTGGCCAACTTGGTGAGTCAGAGTTTCTAAAATCCCATTGATGAATATGAAAATGGCAGTCTGACTGTTGGTGAAGAAAATTCCCCCAGTGAGGGGGAAATTGTTCCCAGTTTAAAGTGACAGAGGATTATTAGTAAAAAAAAAAATCATTTTTAGGACATTTCTACCATTAAAATGAATAAAATGTACTAAATATTCCAATTGTATTTATTCTGATGAGAAGGTGAACAGATGTTTTTTCCAACTGTTAAGAGATGAAGTGTCAATAGATCAAGACAAATAGCTATCAATCTGTCAATCCTTTCCATGTCCGGGCCGGGTGACGTTTCCCATGTTGAGTCAAATTAAGCCGCAGGCTCCACTCCTGGTGGTGCCCGTCTGTCAATTCCTTTAACAAAACACATTAGTTCTCGCAGCTAGCTGCGTTCTTCATCAACGCACGAGCCGAGTGATCCATCGCTAAGAGTTGTCTGTTTGACAACTATATATACATATATATATATATTTGTGTGTGTGGGTGTGTGTGTGTGTGTGTGTTAAAAATACATCAATTACTTTTCTTTAAATTTTTTATTGGCTCTAGTGGCCTTTATTTGATAGTTAATTGGGTAATTAGAGAAGGGGATATTTTCAGTCAGTGCATAATCTGTTAAATGCAAAAGTGAGGCAATGAAACTTGCAGATATTAAGTTCCTTTTGTTCTTTCTCTGTATTTTGCTCAGGGTTTTCTGGACCTGAATGTGACAGAGTTTCAGAAGTTGGCACCAAATGTGACAGGCTTCCAGCTGGTGAACCGAACCTGCCCAGCTGTGGAGAAAATCAATGAAGACTGGATGGGCTTTGACAGCAAAGACCTCAAACTGACACGAAAGAGACTCAAGGTGAACACACACTCGGACAGCTTTATAGTTCGAGCTATATTGGAACTTTGTACAGTTTTCAACTCATTTTAATAACACCTTACCTCTATAAATGGAACTAGGATTTGGTTCCTACAAGGCCCACTAGTCTTCAGAAGAGCCTATGAAAGAAAAGGACCTAATGCAGAAACACAAACATGTATATCACTAAAGTTTTTTTTTTTCATCATTTCAACATGTCTGCCATTCTACAGAGAGAAGAATTATTCACAAGTGGAAAATATTTCAGACATCTTCCAATCTGGATGTCCCAGCAGATTTATCCCAAAGGTCAAAATATCCAGTCTTCAGAAAATGAACAAAAAACAAAGTTCTTAAGATAATGGCCTAAGCCTTTTTTAATTATTTGAATTTTTTATTTATTTTAATTTTTTTTTGCCAAAGGGGATTTTTTTTCCAATTTATCTTTTGGCAACTGAAAAAAGGAGACATTTTTTGTAAAAATCACTTTTGGCCATTATTTTAAGTAGGTGACAATATTAAATGTTAAAATTCATTAGAAAAAGAAATAAAAAGTCCTAACAAACATGGCTATCTTTATCTCTGCCATATGGCTTACCAAAGTCAGGGTGTTTAGTCATGAAATGGAGCGGTGTGCTTAGTGTTACGACCCGTCTAGTGGTGGCCAGGTCAGAACACGAAGGATCCATCCTCTTCAGATCTCAAGCAGCCAGCACACATGAAGTTGAACATTTTATAATGTTATTTATTTTAAAAAGATGTATTTTTGGATTGAGATGTTACAGCAAGTGGAGCATATGGCTTCAGAGTGAGCTAATGCTGAAAACAACAAACAAAAGGAAACTATCTGAATATTAACTAACTTACCTAATTGAAAGTAAAGAAACCAAATGACAAAAACTAAACTCCGTAACTAAGAAAAACAGGAGAAAACTAATGAAACATAAAGGGCAGCTCAGTCCTACAAACTCCAGGACTTTTCATGATTTTACAGACAGACAATGTGGCCGGTTGAAATGAGCTGAGGATGGATGACAGGAAATGCGCGACTTCAGCTTTTATATCCGTCACCTTCAGGAGGCCACCAATCGGACGTCTCCGTCATCTTCCGGAAACCAATCAGAGACAGGCACCTGCACACTCATATTTGCATAATGGAACGACGCCAGTCGTAACATTATATAAACCACACTTTGATGAGCTTTTTCTTCACACGAGGAATTATGAGTTTTAATGAATTATGAGTTTTAATGAAAGCCAGCCTGAATGTAAACATACTGATAAACATTCATGTGCTCCTCTCATCATTCTCAGGGAGATGATAATCACTTTTATGCAAATTTAGCACCTCATCTGAAAATGACAGACTGGCAGATGAAGACTACAATGTGGTTGTTGCAAAATTTTGAACATTTTAGAAGACTTGTTTGATCACTCCTATGAAAGCCATATGCAGTTACACATCTCTTCTGACACAAGCAAGCTTTCTACGATGCAAGTCTTACAGAAGTTTGCATTAGGTAAAAAGCTGTATGACTTTTTTTTTAACTCAAGGAAGAACAGATGAAATCATTTCTGCAGTAAAAAATGAAGCAATGGAAATTATTGTTATTTTAGATCATTCCTAAATAAATTTGCTATTTTGGAGTGGGGGCTTTCCTTCTCTGTGAAGCACTTTGTTGCTTTATGTCATATTTATTTTTATTTATTTATTTTTACTTTTGTATTTCTTTTCTGTTCTTTGAGAGAAAAATAAAGCAGGATTTTAACAGTTTATCCCTGAAATGTGTTTTCTCAGTACACAGGAGCTCTGACCTACGACGGCGTCAACGTCATGGTGAAAGCTTTTCAAAACCTGCGCCGGCAGCGCATTGACATCTCTCGCCGTGGTAATGCAGGGGAGTGTCTGGCCAACCCACCAGCACCATGGGGACAAGGCATCGACATCCAGAGAGCTCTGCAGCTCGTAAGCATGAAAGCTGCTTACGTAGCAGCTTCTTGTTGCATTCTGACATAAATATTTTAAAACATAAAACAAACAATTTCAGGGTTACAACTCAGATAAAATAATACAACGAATGCCAGAAAACTATTGCATTCTAATTGCACATTATGGCAATTTTTTGTCTTAAAATTCTTAATCTCATGTTTTTATTTTTTGCCTCTTTTCCAAAATAATTTTTTTATGGGTATGTCTCAAACACATCTAAGTTTTATCAAAGTTCAATTAGTAAGCTGAACATTTTTACTAAATACAAACCTATCCCTTAGGTGATATTTATGCTATTTTACAAGTGCAATATAGAGGACACTTACATTAAATACTACTTTCTTTATAAAGAAGTGTTCACACATTGCTTATAGTTATTCATTTATTTCAAGGAAGGCAAATTATTAATTACACTTAGACTGCAATGGCTATTGTTTTATTCATTAAACAAGATAAGAGTTTGTTTTCTGAGGAAAAAGTTTGGAGACTAACATTGCTGGCCCACGTAGCTGAAATAACTTCAATAAAACATTTCTTGTAGCCTTTGCCAGTTTCTGACACCAGTCTTATAGAAATTTGCCCTGATTTTGTATGTACAATTTATTTCAAGTCATCCCACAGCATCACAGTGAGACCCTTCCAATTCAGACAGTGCTTGGAAGACTGTCTTTCAGGCTATTGTTCTGTTACAGTAGCTTAACTGACATCCCGTAATCCAAGGGTTCAGCATGACGTTGGTCCATTCTTTGCAGCTAGAATAGCTTCAGCCCTTCTGGGAAGGCTGTCCACAAGGTTTAGGAGAGTTTATGGGGATTTTTAGCCATTCTCCCAGAAGCGCCTTTGTGAGTTCACACACTGATGTTGGAAGCCTGGCTCTCTGTCTCCGTTCTAATTCATTGCAAAGGTGTTCTATTGGGTTGAGGTCAAGACTGTGCAGACCAGTCCAATTCATCTACACCAGACTGCCATCCATGTGTTCATGAACCTTGCTTTGTGCTCCAAACTGTTCCCACAAAGGTGAAACTAAGGGACCAAGCCAAGCAATATATATACACTGCTCCAAAAAATAAAGAGAACACTCAAACAACACAATATAACTCCAAGTAAATCAAACTTCTGTGAAATCAAACTGTCCACTTAGAAAGCAACACTGATGATAATCAATATCACCTGCTGTTGTTCAAATGGAATATATATATATATATATATATATATATATATATATATATATATATATATATATATATATGCTGAATTGCATACGTATACTGTACATAGACACAAACTTCTGTATTTTTTTTCTTTGTTCTAAAATGCTGAAAGTAATGTTTAGTTTTTGCAGGTTCGTCTTGAAGGACTGACTGGTCACGTTGAGTTTAATGAGCGAGGACATCGCACCAACTACACCTTGACTGTGATGGAGCTCAGCCACATGGGGCCCCGGAAGGTGCAGCTGCTCATTGTTTCATTAGAGTACCAGATTTCTAGCCAAACTTTAGGAAAGCAAGTCAGCAGGTTTTAGCTACATTAGTTCCTTCAGTAATTAGTTCTCTCTACTCTGATTAAATCTGTGATAATCAGTACAATCAGCATATGCTTAGGGTAGAAACCTGCAGACTCTCAACTTTCTATTGAATTCTTTCAAACCCTAATATCCCTCCATTGTTATTATGCGAAAAATCACAGCTTTAATAGAACCTAACCAGGCCAGAAAAAGGTAAAATTGGTCTTTGTTTGGATTCACTGTGATTCCTAGTATAGAAAAAACAAAAATAGACCCATAATGATCCAAAACTGTGTTACCAGAGATTTAAGGCAACGCAAAAGAGACGAGTTTAAAATGCAAAGAGATACTAAAGATAAAGGAGAACGAGGCAAAATTAAGAAGCCAGCCACAAAATGGAAATTTACAATAAAATAAAGTGGGATCCCAAATGAGATGAACATTCAACCACTCCTCACATCTTCAGCAGGCTTGATAGGTTTTACATTAATGTTGTTTTTCTGCTCAGGTCAATTTGTACAAAATTATGACTTAAACGTGAATTAATATTAATGCGTTTTTTTATGGTAAGGCAAGATATGAACAACTGGACAATAAGAGGAAGGTGACAAGCTGGGTGTGATGATGGGTTCAATATTTCTAGCCCACATGCAGAACACAACACAGGAGAGTAGTTATGGTGAAGTGAATTTATTAGAACAATGATAAGTGGTTACGGTGAGGTAAGCGGTCTGGTCCAGGAGGGGATTGGGCTCACGGAACGGTCAGCACACTATGGGAAGTACAGCAGAGAGATGGTGAGTTCAAAGCCGTCGGTCACGGGAGCGCTAACAGATTAATTGGATGGATCTTACTTGTAGAACTGAAGTTCGTTGTTTGGGGAGGATTGCTGAAGTGTCCAGGGTTCTTGCTTCCTCGTGGGTCCAGGAAAGCCAGCACTTAGCCACAGAAATCCAGAAAGCAACGAGGGAGTGCAATGGAGGGAAGACAGGTGAGTCGGAGAATCCAGGAGGAACTTGCAATCAGATGAAGGAGGTGAGTTTGGAAACTTGGGCAACCAGTGGGTACGTTCCACGGCATCACGAGGAGGTCTTGATGATGAAAACCAGGTTGATCATCACAAGGGGATCCAGGGCGTCTCAGAGGAAACACCTGACGACAGAAAACAACAAGGAGATTCACTCGGAGGTCAAAACAACAAGGAGAAACAGAGACTAGCTCTTGGAGGCTCAGAGGTACCGTTACTGGCTAACACTCAGGCAGCGAAGTACTGGCAGTCAGCTCCTCTTGTACTCCTTGCCTGATGAGCAGATTAGATTTGGGTGCACAGGATGACAGCACACCACTCTGGAGAGAGGTGAGTCTGGAGTTATCTGGTTGCAGAATGGTGAGTAGCAGCATGACAGAAACCCACAAGAAAACCAAAGAAGAGCAGGAGGGAAGTGACAAGTGGTAATCCGTGATGAGGGAAGGATCTAAAATAAAAGAACCAGGGACCCATGAGCGATCCTCCGGACCGTAGCCCTCCCAATCGACGAGGTACTGCCAGCCGCAACGTCACCGAAAGGAGTCTACGATCTGGTGGACAGAGTACGCCGGACGGCCATCAACTTCACGGGGGGAAGAAGTGAGTTAAATTTTAGCATGAAGTGCAGTACAGAAATTTCTCCAAACTTGGAAAATAAATTGAGGTCCTCGGTCAGACAGGATTTTCTGCGGAATGCCATGCAAGCTGAACACATGTTTAATTAATAGTTGAGTGGTTTGAAAAGCTGTGGGTAACTTATAGAGTGGGACGAAATGGAAGGCTTTAGAAAAACGGGTCAACTATGGTTAGGATGGTGGTCATACATTTGCAGGGTGGTAGACCAGTGACAAAGTCAACAGAAATGTGTGACCCTGGGCGTTTGGGTATGGGTAGTGGCTGAAGTAGACAGGACGGAGGTTGATGGGATGATTTATTTCTTGAACAGACTCTGGAGGCTAGAACATATTTCTTTACATCTTTATGAATAGAAGAACACCAGAATTCACAGTTAATGAGAGTAGTGGTTCGGCTGATACCTGGATGACCGGAGAACTTAGAGGCGTGGATCCACTGGAGAATACGGACTCAGACAGAGGTTGGAACATAGATCTTATTAGATCTACGTAATATTAATTCACTCATGTTCCTCTAATTCTGGTGTTCTCATGAATCGGGGCCTGGTTCGGACAGTTGAGCTTGTTCAATGAGATCCTCAATCTCCCAGGGTACCGCTGCCATGGTGCAGCTGGGGGAAGAGTAGTTGCCCGGACTCTCTCCGAGTCGTCAGGTGAGTGGAGACGGGAACGAACATCTGACTTTATATTTCTGAACCCTGGGCAGTAGGAGATGGAGAGGTTAAACCTGGAGAAAAACAATGACCAACAGGACTGTCAGGGATTAAGCCTTTTAGCAGATTGCAGGTATGACAGGTTTTTATGATCGGTCCAGACCAGCACCGGGTGTTCAGTTTCCTCCAACCAGTGCCGGCACTCCTCCAGGGCCAGCTTGATGGCCAACAGTTCCCGATCCCTGACATCATAGTTTCGTTCGGGAGGGGATAATCTGCCAGAATAGAAAGCACAAGGGTGAGTTTTATTGTCATGGGAGGATATCTGGGTCAGGACGGCTCCTGTGCCGGTGTCAGATGCGTCAACTTCTACAGTGAACTGTTTGGATGGGTCTGGTTGGATGAGTATGGGAGCATTTGCGAAAAGGTTCTTGAGTTGCGTAAAGGCGGCTTCTGCCTCTGGGCTCCAACTGAACAAATTCTTGGTTGAGGTGAGGGCAATTAGTGGTAGGACAGTCTGACTGTAATTACAGATAAATCGGCAGTAGAAATTAGTGAAACCAAGGAAACGCTGGCATTGTTTGCGGGTTTCAGGGGTCGGCCAGTCCAGCACCGGCCAGATCTTCTCCTCCGAGGGTCTTACCTGTCCGCCCCCAAGTATGAATCTGAGGAATGACACTGATGATTGGTGGAACTCACATTTCTCAGCTTTGACAAATATTTTGTTAGGAGATGCTGTTGGACCAGATGGACATGATGCTCATGTTCCTCTAAAGACTTGGAGTAAATCAAAATATCATCCAGATATACAAACACAAAGTCATTTAGAAAATCCCTCAACACATCATTGATGAGGGCCTGGAAAAAGGCAGGGGCATTAGACAACCCAAAAGGCATCACAAGGTACTCAAAGTGACCTACGGGTGTCTTAAAAGCTGTCTTCCATTCATTGCCTTTTCGAATTCAGAGTAAATGGTAAGCATTTCATAAATCAAGTTTAGAAAAAACGGTTGCTCCCTGAACAGATTCAAAGGCAGAGGATAACAAAGGCAGGAGATACTTATTTTTGACTGTTATGCTATTTAACCCTCTGTAATCAATGCAGGGTCTAAGTGAACCATCTTTCTTTCCCACAAAAAAACCCCCACCCCCAATGGAGAGGAGGATGGGCAGATTACGCCGGCTGCCAGAGACTCCTTAATATACTTCTCCATAGTCTCTCTTTGATGGGGAGATGCTGTAGAGGCGGCTTGTGGGTAATGGAGCACCGGGGAGGAGATCTATGGAACAGTCGGTAAGGTTGATGTGGAGGTAATGAGAGGACCTTGGATTTACTGAAGACAGGGGCAAGGTCATGATATTCAAGGGGATGGTCGACAGGCAGGCGGATCTGCTTCTTGCGGTTCTGCCGGTGGCGGACCTCGGGGAACAGCTGAACGGAGACAAGATGAATGACAGAAGGGTGACCAGGACCAGGATTTGACATACCTGTCTGAGCGGTTTATCCGGTGGTTATGTTGTTGGAGCCATTTGAAACCTAAAATGATGGGCGAGTTGGACGTGGGGAAGACCAGAAATGAAGCTCATTCACTGTAGTTTCCGGAAATAATTAAATGTAACAGTTTAGTTTGACGAGTTATTTGTGGAAGGGCTTTTCCATCCAGGGCAGTGACACGTAATGAAACAGTTAATGGTTTTGTTTTTTAAGGTTTTGTTGAGAGCATTAAAATAAGTGCTCTTTAATGCGGTTGAATACCAGTCTGTAGCTGCAGCTCTTATTCTGAAATCTATAGCAAATCCCACTATAGAACATTGAGCCTGCTTGACTTTCATTAGCTTGTGTGAATTAAATGATATATCGGAGTCCTGTCTAAATACTTGTTGGAACTCTTTCAAAAATTTGTCAAACAAGCAGTCATAACTGGCATGGAAAAGAAAATGGGCCTGGGCCCAGTCTAATCCCCCCCCCCCCAAACACAGAGACAAAACATAAGCAACCTTAACGCTGTCTTGGGAAAAACTCTGAGGGTAATGATTGAATATTATAGAGCATTGCAGCAGAAAACATTAATTCACTGTAGGTCACCAGAGCACCGTTCAGGAATGGGATGATGAACGTGGGCTGGACCGGATCTGGAACTGCCACTGGATCTGGAGAGCGAGTCCGAGGAACAGAACATTTGAGAAAATTTGCAATTTCTATTAACTGCCAGTTGGTTTTGGCTTTTTGTGTGCTAAGTTCTCTTAATGCGATTTCATGCGACTATAGCAAGGTATGTTGTTCAGTTAAGGTTCTCCTGATTGTGTCTGCTGGGCTTGTTTGATGGCCGGAGTGTTCTGTCATGGTGGGTTCAATATTTCTAGCCCACATGCAGAACACAACACAGGAGAGTAGTTATGGTGAAGTGAATTTATTAGAACAATGATAAGTGGTTACGGTGAGGTAAGCGGTCTGGTCCAGGAGGGGATTGGGCTCACGGAACGGTCAGCACACTATGGGAAGTACAGCAGAGAGATGGCGAGTTCAAAGCCGTCGGTCACGGGAGCGCTAACAGATTAATTGGATGGATCTTACTTGTAGAACTGAAGTTCGTTGTTTGGGGAGGATTGCTGAAGTGTCCAGGTTCTTGCTTCCTCGTGGGTCCAGGAAAGCCAGCACTTAGCCACAGAAATCCAGAAAGCAACGAGGGAGTGCAATGGAGGGAAGACAGGTGAGTCGGAGAATCCAGGAGGAACTTGCAATCAGATGAAGGAGGTGAGTTTGGAAACTTGGGCAACCAGTGGGTACATTCCACGGCATCACGAGGAGGTCTTGATGATGAAAACCAGGTGGATCATCACAAGGGGGATCCAGGGCGTCTCAGGGGAAACACCTGACGACAGAAAACAACAAGGAGATTCACTCGGAGGTCAAAACAACAAGGAGAAACAGAGACTAGCTCTTGGAGGCTCAGAGGTACCGTTACTGGCTAACACTCAGGCAGCGAAGTACTGGCAGTCAGCTCCTCTTGTACTCCTTGCCTAATGAGCAGATTAGATTTGGGTGCACAGGATGACAGCACACCACTCTGGAGAGAGGTGAGTCTGGAGCTATCTGGTTGCAGAATGGTGAGTAGCAGCATGACAGAAACCCACAAGAAAACCAAAGAACCCCAGAACACAACACTGGGTTGAAGATTTCATTCGAAACAGCTGCAACAGTAAAATTCAGATATAAGGTGAAACTCCTGAGTGTGTATGGTTTAGTTATTATAATTCTGAAGATTTATTTCATGTGAAGCTCCTATTGAAGTACAATGTTGTCATTTGACCAGAATAAACTAAAAAGCTTCTTGACCAGTGACTACTGGACAAGTGGTCACATAATCTACAGCTCCGTGTTTTCTTGAAAACCAAACACATCATTTTTGCAACAATATTTTGTTGTCAAAGATCTGGCCTCCTTGCAATAAGTGAGTCAACCATATTTCCTGGAGTCAAATGAGACTAAGCAAATCTGCTGTGTAAGGTCTTAACCTGTGCACCCAAAAAATTGTTTAGGCAATAATTTTGTTTAGTTTTATTTGGTCCTTTTTTCCTGTCTTTTTTCATTTTGATTTTCCTTTTTTTTTTCTTTTTTCTCAATTTCTTTTCCTCCCATTTATTGGTTTCTTTTATAAAACATTAATAAATCTTTAACCTTTTCCTGGTCTGTGCTGAGTGTCCCTCGCTGTGATTTTAATGAGCTTGTTGTTGCTTCGCATCCAGATAGGCTTCTGGAATGAGAAGAGAGGCTACGTGCATACACCCGTCTCCCGGCTGGCGAAAGAAGAGCTGGTTAATCTTCTGAACAAAACCTACATTGTCACCACCATATTGGTGAGACTGGGAGAATGACATGCTGCACAGTTCATCTTCACTTTAACTTTACTGACATACTAATCACTCTATTGGTATTGAATGACCATTTCCTGTTTCAGCAGAGCTGTTCTTAGCCTCAAGTGAGCTGTATAGAAATAAATCTGAAATTCAATCTGAATTTCAGAGCAATCAGAAATGTCCTAATTATTTTCTACTTTTGTCAATAGTTTTTTTTCTGTTCCTTTTCAAAGAACCCAGTTTATGGAGTAAATAGGAATATGTGTGTAATTTCAAACTATTTTTTCCAAAATTGTTTTTACCAGATTATACATGTTTCTTGCATCAAGATAAATGATTCTCTTCTCCCTTGAAGATTCTGATTTCAGAAACTGAAACTGTAGACTTCATAAGATAATAAGGAAACTTTTTTCCTACATTTTGTTATGTGAGCTCTAATTACTGGACACTCCACCAATGATTTTTCTTTCTGGTTAAATTTTTTTTTGTCTTTTTCAGTACAATTTCATCCAAAACCACATAAACTAAAAAGCTTCTTGGCCAGTTAATTTTTAGTGGGAAATGGGTAATGGATGAAATTTCAGCCATTACAATTTCACCCATTAATTGGTGACATCAATAAACTTACTGACGTCAGCAACAGTGGCAGGCTTATGTGATGGTGCTAAGGTCTGTGTGAATACTGTAGAGAATAATATCATTAATGTGGCTTTTAGTGATCACCTGCACTCTGCATCATTTCAACAAGAAACAGAAATGATCAGCATGAGCAACATTAGCATTATCATGCTTAGACCTCTGGAAATAACCAGACGTTGTGGGTTTATCCAGAAAACTCGGTAGCTCCTCTGAACTTCTACTTTTTAATATGGAAGTATAAATCCATCAATGGGTGATTGGAGTTAAAATCAATGAAAATAGAAAGCAGTTTAGAGAAAACTATGGATTATACTTCAGAACTGTCTCAGGGCCATCAAACTCATTTTCATTTTAGCCATTAATGTTAGTCATGAATGTTCTCAAGAGTGGATTGTATTTGAATGTATTGATAAAACACATTAAAAGACTGTTAAGATATTAATAGCTGTCAATAAACTCAGAGGTATGCATTTGTGGGAAAAATCTGGGGATCTGTGGATTTTGTATGAATTTCCACATTAGTGGAATCACAGAAAACTGGAGTGACTGATTGATGTGGCTTGACATCAGCAATACAGGACCACAAAAAGGACAGGATTTGAATTTGACACAATTGTTAAGAATTTTAATCATCCTATGTCTACTTTTTTGTTTGCACATAATACCAAAATGTGTTATTTTATCATGACACACAGCTCCCACAGATGGAGGCGAAAAAATAAAGGGCTTGATTTGTTAAATGAATCTAAATCTAAATCTTGATCAAATAAAAGTGATGACTGTTTGTCTCTGTGGTCACAGGAAGCTCCCTACATGATGCTGAAGAAGAACCACGAGCAGTTTGCAGGAAATGACAAGTACGAAGGTTATTGTGCTGAACTGGCATCTGAGATTGCCAAACATGTTGGCTTCACCTACCAGCTACAACTGGTGGGAGACGGAAAGTATGGATCCAGAGACCCGGAGACAAAGCAGTGGAATGGCATGGTGGGAGAACTGGTCTATGGGGTGAGTTTAGATATAACCATCAGTTACAGAATCCAGGTCAATTAAACTGTTCAGCTAATCTGGTGACAACTCTACACAAAAGTATGGAAGAGAGCAGAAGTTTTTTTACTGTCCCACAGTGGGGAAATTTCTGTGCAACAATTATGGAACAAAAACAAAATAAAAATACTATACAGTAAGAGCAAAATTCACTCATAAAACAACATTCAAACAAAGGCACTCATATTGCATTTTGAACACACTGTTTCATTGAAAAATGTAATGCGTTCGTGAAATCAGCTACCATTTATGGAAATATTAATAACAGAGATTTCAAGAAGAGTGAGCTTCCTCTTCAGTTTTTGGAGGCTGAAGGAATAAATAGGAACAAACCAGATATGCCACACATCTCTAGAGCATTTCCATACAAATTAAAATAATCATGCCTCTCAGCATTGTATCACAAAGGCACAATACAGCTTCTACTTTTTAAATATCTAAATAGAACTTTCTCTGACTTGAGGAAGTCAGAGAAGAGTTATTTTAATACTCTTGAAGTGTAAATACTGTGAAATAGTAACAAGCTTAAGAACATTGGGTTGTGATCCAAACTGGAGCGTTTCCTCCTCTGTTCTGGTTTTAAAAAAATAGTCCATCGTCAGCAAAATTTGCTTCAAATCTTAGTTACGTCGACACCTTTTAGTGGAGTAAGTAGCAGCTTTGCATTATAAATAAATATATTTGCTGTCAGAAGTATTAGTTAGCTTTAGATCTGATTTTTTTTATAAGATAGGCCTTTCTTGTACTCAGTAGGTAATAAAACGACAGTAAATTTTTCACAACTCATATAAACAGCCCGTTTTGTACCTTGTATTGGATACATGCTAAAAAAACTGACTGGCTTAAACAATAAGCTGAGGAAAATTATGTTGCTTTTTGTTAAAAGTCATATTAATGAAAACTAGATTAGATATCAGCTGTAATACTTCTTAACCATGTTTGTTCTGTAATATGACTGAGGCTGGGTTTTCAAGTCAGCAAGTTATGCTGGTGTCAAAGACAAAAGATGTTATGACACTGGGTTATATAATGGCGGTAAACTGAGTGGATTACGGCATGGGGCCCCACTCGGTATTGTGGGACCCAACCCCCATACTTGTATTGGGTTCCACAATGCCAGTGTATAAGTGGGAAAAAAAAAACATTCTTATTTATACAGGTTTGTTTCAGATTTTTTATTTTATGCAAATGCTATTTTTCATGACAGAGTACATGTGGACAGTATCAAAGAAAACATTGAAAATAAGGCAAGCATGTGGGCTATAACATATGTACAAGGAAGGTGTTGCTTTGACATCTTTTCACTTGAGCAAAGAAATTGCTTTTGTAAGTTAGGTCAAGTGTTTTAAAAAGCACCTGTTTTGAGCTTCATGCTCACATCAACAGTGACAGCTCTACAGATGTTTTCATTATGAGTCAGTGAACATGTTCACTGTTTTTACCAAACAAAGACATCCTCCACTGGGTGACATCTCTTGTCTGTGTCCTCCTGTAGAAGGCAGACATGGCCGTCGCCCCTCTGACAATCACTCTCGTCCGAGAGCAAGACATTGACTTCACCAAACCCTTCATGTCTCTGGGAATCTCCATCATGATCAAGAAACCAACCAAGTCCAAGCCAGGCGTTTTCTCCTTCCTTGACCCGCTGGCCTATGAGATCTGGATGTGCATAGTTTTTGCCTACATTGGAGTCAGTGTGGTGCTCTTTCTGGTATGATGGCAGGGGCCAGAAATGTTTGCTCATGTAGACTTGTTTCTAATCAAATTTGTACAAACACAAAGTATTCTTCAATATTTGTAAAAAGCAGAATGAACTAAAAACTATAAGTACATCCACCCTATATTTGGAAGCTACTAGTTATTGAGTAATTATTTAGGAAAATTAGAACTGTCAAAAATTTAATCAAACTTAAAATTACAAATGGAATAGTTTATATATGTTGTCGGAAGTTGGAGACAAATGACATAATGTCAAATTGACATGGAGCCCAACACACCAACACACATCCGACATATTTAGCAAATGTATGCTTAGACAACGCAATAAATGCCATCCATTGTTCAGGATTTTTTTCCCTTCTTCATGCATTAGTTATTATTGACCTGTAGCAAAGAGCCAATATGGGTAAATGAATGTTATGCTGTGTGGTGGTGAACAGCAAGAAGCATTTAACTGCATTGTTTTTTTGTCAGTGACACACTTATTTTTTCCATGCAGAAATATTTGCTGTATCAGCCCAATAAAGCATTATTTTGATCCTTATCCATCATTTCTTTGCTTACATATGTTCATTTCTACTTTCTGCATGTCTTAAAACAATTTCTATAAAAGAAATTGTGCACATTTATGATTTTTGCTTAAAATAATAGTTTCATTTATTTTTTCCGGCCCTTTTTTATATTTGGTTAAGCGCAATATAATTCTGGAAGGTTTAGATTTAAATCACCAAATACAATTACAGAAGCTTTGTGGAAGTAAAATATGGTCTGTGCTTTTAAAAAGGGTTTGATTTTGTCACCAGAAAAAATATATTTATTTGTTTTAATATTAAGAAAGTTGTAGTTGTGTTTTAGTTACTCATTTAAAACTGGATTCTCCTTTGACATTGTTTTCTTTGATAGGCGTCAGTCTCATTTCCCATCAGAAACAAACTAATTAGTTAAATGTAAATTATTTCAAATATAAATATACCAAGGGTACACTGTAAAAAACAACGGCTCTAATTTACAATAAAATACTGGCAGCTGTGGTTGCTAGAAGTTTACTATCTTTATACGGTAAAGTTCTGACAACCATAACTTCAGTTAAAACTGTGAAATTGGCTCACTGGTGATGCAGAAATCATCACAGGTAAATGAAAGATGCTGACGGTTGTGAAAAATTAGATGCAATAGCCCTTTAGCCATTTCCCGAATTGGAAGCTGCAATTGGAAACCAACTTCAGATTCATCCAAGCAGCAGGGCCTAACATGCAGTTCTCTTAATGAATGACAAAGCGATGGTTGACATAAAATTAAATAATCCCAAATACATCATTTAATAAAAGTCTCTCATAAATGATGGTGGCATCAGCTCTGGGATCCACCTGATCTTGATTCTGAGCCTGAATATTGAAAATTGATTCACCAGATCAATGTCTGGTCTACCTTTGAGATTTCAGTTTGGTGTATAAAATGCATTATTAAAAAATAAACCAAAACATGACACCAGCATTCTATTCTTTGTAAAAATTACTTTTACGGTCTGTTTTATGGTTTTACATTGTAGTTATAAATATCAGCAAAATTAGTAATTTTGGCCGATTAGTACCATTAATTTTAGAGTAATTAACTGCTGGCAATATTACAATATTTTTCTATGTATTTTACAATTACTTATATTTTTACAATATATTTCCATGTTTTCTACATTTCATGACAAAATTACTGGAAATATATGTTTATTGAGTTATTGGAA